AGTATTGCCGCTTTTAAATTCAGTATTGCCAAAACTTACTCTCAGATTCCGCGTGCTGAGTTTAGTATAGCCAAATCTAAGTTGTGTATTGCCAAGACTTGCTCTCAAATTCCCAGTTCTTGGTTTAGTATTGCCAGATTTTCCCATCCCAAAAAGCTTGACATTAAAGAAGATCCCCAAACAGTCATATTGCACAGCATCACTGGCTCTTGGAGGCACTTCCCTTTGTGCGACTGTATTTTTGTTTTAAAAAAAAATAAATAGTTTGGAGATCGCTTGCAAAACTGAGTTTCCTAGATCTAACACCTTGAGCCTTTCATTTGCAACGTGAGTTGGAGCTTCCCGTCCAGTATTCCTGCTTGACGGACTCCCTCCACCGGTCAATGATGCATTCCCACTCCGTCTCCAGATTTTTGGATCTCCGTGATTCGCCTGGGCTCCTGCTCGACCTAGAACCCTGGAGGTAACCTGATCATGTGGTTCCTGATCAATTCCACGTGATTCCTGAAGAAGACCTGCCAATGATCTTTCGTCTCACTTAAAGCCATCACCTCCTGCCCTGCAGCACTGCCACCAACTCCTGGCAGACCTTGGACCCGCTGTGTCCTTCTCGGTTCCGGACCTGTAGAACATATTCTCTCGGTTTCCGCTTCACCTTTGGTAGGATTGATCCTCTGGGCAGGTAAGGTGGTCGGCTTCTTCTCGTGTTGGCCCCACGAAGCGCTTCCACTCGAACGCCCAGAACGAAGGAAAGGCTTCCCTTCCAGCCAGCCCCTTAGCTCTTTAGCTCTTTAGCTTTTTAGCTTGGTGTCTAGCGGCAGTTTCCATTTCACCCACCAAAAGTCGCAACTTTCAGCGGATCTGAGGAGCCTTGGCTCCTCCATTCGCACAATGCTCTGAAGAGCAAGACGAGTTCAGGTTTCAGTTGGATGCCCACTCTCTCAGCTCCTCCTGGCGGTTGGCCTCCCAGTTCCCAGTCGGAGCTCACCGGCCGTCCAGAACCGTCCGTAAAGCCGACGCTGCTGCCCCGGTTTCCAGCATGGCGTTCGGAGAAGTAGCCTACGCAACTGTAGGCAGCCAACCTGTTTTCCTTCAGGCCGGCTGGATGCTAAGGGCTTTGTCACCCGCAAGTCATGATATTGGGCTTCCACGTGGAACTAAAGGGCATCCCCTATTGTAAGATGTATCCCTTCTTGATTGAGGGAAGCTGGTCGTTGTGATTGAATTAGCATGATTCCGGGAGCAGCAGGGTCGGATACGAAGGCTTGCGCACAAGTACTGAATCCATCATTTTTTTACCCATACAGGCAATGAGCTATGGCCGAAATCCTGGGTGGGCATCGTGAAAGCATGGGAACATAGGTATATTCGCAATGAGCTTGAGCTTCCCAATAAATATAGACACGGTTCATGAGCCAAAATCAAAACTCGGGTAGATGAAGGTTAAGGGACAATCCCAACCAGAAGTCGCTGCGGATATCCGCCTCCCTAATTCGTTACGTGGTTCTGGGTCGACCATTTTGGAACCGGGTTTTGGCTTCCGCCCCGCAAGCCTAGGCCAAAGTATCCTGGACTCGGCCAGCTCGATCGATGCCCACATCGACGCAGGGGCGCTGGTCGACCGGATAGGAGCCAAAAGACGAGAGCCGTGTCGCTTAAAAAGGCCCTGGCTCGGCGCTTCAGCGCAAGCTCACTCAAACACACCGACTTCAGCTATCAAGGTCCTTAACTTGGAGATTCGTGGGTCAATGAACTCCGAGGTAAGCGGAAGTCGACGCCTTGTGAAAACATCCTGTATCCCCAGAAAGCTATAAAGGGGTTTCCTCAATTGGGGTGTTTCTTGTTTGGACTCATTCCCCATAAACAGGTGCGCGTTACCAGGGAAGAATCTGGAACTCCGCTATCACAGGCTAATCGGCCGTTTCGACCGAATCGTTTGAGGGTGACTTCATAGTGCGTCCCCTGCAGTGGCAGACTACCAAAATGCGGCTGATCCCTGTTTATACGGCTGGGCTCTTCTTACCCCCTTGTTGTGGTGTTGCTACATACCAACGCTGGCTTTGTCCGCAGCTCGGAGAGCTTCCTGCGAGAGGCCGGCGCTTGTTACCCCACTGCTCGGACCTTCCAAGTGAGCGCAGGGCAGCCTTCATTTGTGGCAAAGCATCTTGACAGTACGCATTATTTGAATATTTGGGAATTCTTGACACTTCGGCTGGATGGTAGATGCTTGCGCCAGAGACTGGCCCATGATTAGCAGGGGCAGCGCAGAAGGCATCACGCAGGGGTCCCAAAAAGGGATCCAGTTTTGCTAAACGAGATCAACTTGGCAACTGGTAAGAAAGCTAGTACGGACCTGTTCCCATCTCTCTCATCCTGCAAATCCCTGGTCCAATTGGTTTAATGGAAGGTCTCTACGAAAGTTTGCTTTGTGATCCCTTCGCCCGCCGGCCCGCGCTTCAACTCCTTCCGATGGCTTCTGCGCCCAGTTGGTTGCCGTCATGCTTCTCGGGCGCCTCCATGTGGGTGGTAAAAGTTTCGGACTTCGTGAACATGAATTTGGACTCCTGGCCGGGAATTGAGAAGTGCCGCACGCAAGGTTGCGGATAGAAACTGCAAGGAACATCTCACTTGTGGTCCAAAAAAGTGAGGTTCTCCGAACAATTCATGCGTCATGACGGCAAGTGGCTGTGCGTGCTGTTTATCCTATTATTTACAGTGCACTTACTGCTTGTCCATGGGCCAGTCTCTGCCAAGTAAAGTTGGACCCGCGCGGATGGACGCTTCGTCTGTCCGCGCAGGCGTGACATCTAAAATCCTTAAGGACATCATAATATGAAGGTTTGTTTTCAGTGGCCAGTCGAGTTGAGGACCCGCAGAGGATTAGACCCGTCCCAAGCCAATGTACATGTATTTTACCAGGGTCCTGTGGCAAACGTTATTCAGAAAAGGTGCTTTGAACGCCTGTGAAGGAGAAACTGCGCCAGTACACTTTGGCGATGCACTTTGAGTGCCGCCAACACAGAGTCTAGACTGGGAGCCTGATGCACATAGCACTAGTACGCGGCCGAGATGTTTCTATGTTCCAATCTGTCTTCATTGAGACCTCACTGGTGAATATGTTTGTTTTGTGTGCAAATTGCGTACCTGATGCTTCTGCAAAATGCCTGGGTGTTGTGTTCTGCGGTTCTTCAACCGGGGATGAATGACTTGCAGCTGCCTGCTGACACGAAAAATGGCTACTTTCCTTGCCATCAACTGTTGGATGGCAAGTCGCAAAAGACAAGAAGCCATGGTTCAACAGTGGCAGAATGCCTTGGCCACGGTCACGCGCTGAGGACAAGATTCTTTGCCATGAGGAGCTGCTCGAGAAGGGAATTCTAGTACGCCGTCAGGCATGGATCAAAATGCTGCGACTTGTCCATGATCTCACCATGAGTGTGGTAGAGATTGATTATAATGAAAGAAAGACGTAGATTATTCATGGTGGTAAGTTAATAAACCCCTGGTTGATTACCAGGGGTCCTCTTTTTGTTGGGATTCAGACCACTTTTTGCCGGAATACCTATATTATTTGGATGGGGTAGTATTCATCCGGGGTGCTCCTTGCGACCTTGGCCAGGCGGGCTTCTTCTGTATTTTTGTGTCGCACCAATGGCTGGGCTTCAATCATCCAGATCCAAACAGTGAACAGCTGCCTGTTCTTCAGCAGGCCTTACTGCATCTTCTTGCAGGACGGGGCGTTTTGAAAGCTGCAGGGTCGTGCGATTGGTAGCTAGTTTCGGCCCTCCTATCTTGTGTCGCGCGACAGCTTTCCAAGTTCATTCAAGCTTCCTGTTTCGGGAATGCTGTCGGTGTCCTCATGATATGTCGCAATTGAAGCTTGGATGGCTGTCCCAATTGGTTGTTCAAATACCCAAATCCTGGAATATTGTGTTTCGCCCTTAGTTCGCCCTTGAGCCATTTTGCAAGAGCCGCCTCCCCCTTCAAGCTAAACATCACTCAGTTTTAACACTTTTTGCAGGCCCAAATAAAATGATCACACAACAAAATAAGCCCACATTTGACCCTAGGTTGCCTCTCACAGTGCCAAAGTACCAGCCCACGTCTGCCCAGTCTTTTATTGCGGAAGTTAACAGCGGTACGGAGGGCCGGTTTGGCAGCAGGTGTCGACCAGTTTAGCCTACAGAGCGGCACGAGAGCGCTTCAGTCAAGTACTCTTTCTTGACAAACGCGCTGTCGCACAATCCCAGAGTGAAATCGAGCATCCAAAGGTGCCCGACAAGCTTTGTAAGTGAAACAAGATTTGTACATGCTCCCACGGTGCGCCTTGCAGTGCAGACACATCCTGCATTCTTTACATTTATGGCATCCCGTCCTCCGCCCTCCTACCCCCCATGGCATCCCCTTCCAAGGCTGCTCACTTTAGGACCGCTGTGTCGCTTCGGGCTCGCTCCGAGCTCTCTCCGAGCTCACTCCGATAACGCTCCGATCAGCGTGCTTCTCGTCTTCTGTCGGAGAGCTGGCTTTCAATTTCTGTCCGTACCGGCAGTTCCTAAACTTCCTTGAGCAAGCAATCCAACCTCAACCCCAAACGCAAGCAAGCCCTAAAACCACTCCATAAACCGGGCAGGGCGTTCCCCCAAAACAAACCCTAAGCCATCCCTAAACCAACCCTAAAACCAACCCGAACCCAACCCTAAATTAGCTCCGGGGGCGGGGGTTGGAGGGCTGGCCCACAATATACACACATGAAAGGATGGATGGATGGATGGATGGATGGATGCATGGATGGATGGATGGATGGACGGATGCATGGATGGATGGAAGGCTGTTTATTGTTTTTATCTGTTGTCTTGTTTTACTAATAATGCTTAAGTAGGCAACATCCTCAGCATCGTCTGCATGTGCAATAGGTGCATAGGGATGTTGATGGTGTCGACCATTTTGGCCTAGCCGGCGAGGAGTTTGACCCTGCACCTCCCCCGGATTTCCCAGGCCCAATGTCATATCATCTGAACTTTACACCAGGCGGCGACATTGGGGTGGATATTACCACAGAGTTCTTCGGTTGGCGTTCGCGCTTCAGTGAGAAACACCGAGCGAGCATCAAGGAGCGCTTTGACCCGGTCTCACACGTTGTGGATTTTGTTTCGCTGATTGTGGGTGAGGGTTTCCCCTTGCTGCCTGGCGAAGCAACCAAAGGCGAACCCAACTTTTTTAGTTTTCAATTATTTTAGGAAACAGCTATGCTATCCAGGCAGTGGGTTGTATTTTCTGCTCCTTATTGGAGATTTGGCAGGTAAATGTAACTCACCGTTTGCCGGAGGAGGTCTTTAAGGAAACAACTGGCGTTGCACACCTTCGGTGTATGCGTAAGCTTGTTTTGATTCATGTCTGAAACCCAAATCCCCTTGCGGGTGGGAGATGCATGAGGACCAGTCTCAAGCACTTCATCAGATCAGATTGCTTCTGCTCATTCTTGCATATGTCTCCTTCAGGGAAAGTGTGGCCTCTTTGCGAGGGACTCTGGTGCAGTCACCACTGTTGTGTCTTACCACCAACATCCAGCCTGCCTGCTGAACAGGCAGATGTTCGACGGGAACGGGATTTGTTTGACTACCGACTAGCCTTCAGGGCTGACTTCGGTATGCTCGTTTGGCAGGATGGCTACATTTGGATGGACTGGTTCAGCATCCCGCAGCACAGTCTAGAGGCACAACATGGCCAACAACGCGATTTAGACGGCACGCCCAAATGGGACGCAATGCCCAGCCTTGCGACGCAGGACAAGGCTATGTTTGAACATGCTTTGAAAGCACTGCAACTGAACTGCAGATTTTGCGGCAGACTTTTGAGTCAAAGTGGTTGACGTTTTTTGCAGTGGCCGAGCTTGCCTTCCTTGGCAAAGACTTTGCAACGTCGCAGGATGACTATATCCGCTTGATCCCAGAGTACGTGGAGGCCTCCGACCTCTTTGTGGTTCTGGCACCACGGTGCCGACACAGCAATGGACTGCGCTGCTCTTTTGGGAGCTGGACCGAGAGGGGCTGGTGTCGATTAGAGCTTTGGTGCAAGATGATGTCCGCATCTCGCTTCCAGATGTGGGAAGCTTTGTGTTTTGCTCCTTTGTCAGACATGCCGCATGTGCCGCATTGTTCTTTTGCATGCGCCTTTGGCACGATCGTTGCTGCAAGCGCTGAGCGTGAGGTAAATGTGAAGATGCCGGTCGTGCTCATATCTGGCTCTGACCGGATCAACTTTGCCATGCCAATGCACTGGATTGATCATCCACCGCATGAGGGGCAATTTACGATTGAGGCAGATCGCCATTCTGTCATCAACGTTACTCGGGAAGCTCTGAGTCAAAAGATGTCTTCCTCGAAAGCATCCAAGAAGTGGGACGTCTACCGCTACTTTGTTGCCAGGTATGAGACACTTTCTGGACATGGGTTTCGGCAACGCACCAAAGACGAGTTTTTGAAGGACTTCAACTTTAGCTCGTTGCATTCGGCAACGAATCGCTGCATGTCTCCGATGGCGTGTGCGGTGCTATCCGCAGATGCAGAGATGATTCGGGTGCTTTGCAGTGAAGGGCTGGATGTGAATAGGCACGGGGTCGGGAAACTTGGCTGGTTGCAAATTCTGGACATGTGTGATGCCGCGGTCAGGGGCGTCATACCAAGGGTTGAAGTCAATCTTTTCAAATCCAAATGAGCTGCGCTACAATACCCTTCTGTTCATGTTCAGTGAAGGCCTTGCAATAACACCGGCCCGCAGCCCGCGTAAGCTAGCCGTGCGCGCACGTAAGCGTACGAAAGCATTTTGTCACGAGTATCATTGTGTAAGCTGCGCGGAAGTGACTTGTTGCAACTTTTGAGGCAGAGCGTACTAGAAACCCAATGCTTTGTATCACAGTGCTGGCCATGTTTGAGGTATACAAAGTGTACTTTGCGCACTACGCTTGTACTGAGAAGTTACGATGCGCGCGCTGGAGCTGCCAAAGTACCCTGCGTGTATTGAATTGTATTTTGAGTGCTACGTTCGCGCCAGAAAGCCTCGCGTAAGCTATCGCAGTGGTGGTGTGCAGAAATCTAAGTAGGGCTTGCTAAGCCTCGCGTAAGCTCTCTGTCACTAAACGCTTCTGCGCATAAGCTGATTGTGCGCGCGTAAGCCGCGTTGGCGTAAGCAACTCGTTGTCGCAGACGAATCACTCGGTATTTCTAGCCTGGCTCAAATGGAGTACCAACATTAATATGGGCAACAGTTTTTGCGTCAGTGTGGCTGCAGATTCCTGAAAAGTGACTGAGCCCACTCTGTGGACGTTTACCATGACGGTGATGTATGTGACATACAGCGACGGAAGTGTTTGTTCAAAGCCCATCAGGCACCACTGCGGGCCAATGGTTTGGTTTTTGGCATCAAGGTCAAGTTCACAGAAGATAGCGTAGCAAACAGCTTAAGCAGAGGTAGAAGCCCAATGCTCCAATCAGTTGTGTATTTGGCGCGTGCAGTGGACTGAGGGTTTTCCAACCCGGTGCGACAGGTTTGACGGCGCCATTCCTGAAGTCAACATTTTTCAAGCCATGTCACCCTTGATGCTCGCCACGATGCTGGGCTGGCGAAATGAGACGGTTCTCCTTGCACTCTTGGACCACAAAGCAAACGTCGACGCCACCACCGAGTTCGGTTTCTTAGCTCTTATGGCAATTCTTCGAGCACGTTGGCCATATGACGCTTTGTGTAAATGATGGCCATCCCCTAGGGTTCAGCCCCCAATGAACAAGAATGGTTTACCCTGCCAATTCTCAGGTCAACAACGGTGGTTATATGAACCCCCATTGTTTGAATGGTGGATTGAACCCCAGGGTATCACTTAGTCAACATGCTGAAACTGGTTCAAGTTTTCGGGCATGGGATGTTTTGCTTCGAGCCACGGGCCCCTGACCGCCGTAGGACTGAAGAAACGCGTCCCGTGATATTTCCGCAAGTCTTATGATGAGCCTTAGGGCAAGGAACGGGTAGGTCTCAAAAATAGAGGGCTTTCCAGTTTCCAGAGCAACACTCGCCGTTCCGAAGTCCGAGCAGGACCCACCCAGGCGCTGTGTTGCTCTTTGTGTTTCACATGTTTGTGTTCGATGCCCGTTGCCTGTCCCAGGTTCACTAAATTCAGGGCATGTCCTAGCCTTGCTACTATACACTGCTTCTACAAAACTATTTGTTTTCTTTCACAGCTGCTCCTTTTGCTACTTTCTTTGCTAATACTGGACTTTGTTGTGCTCTCACCGATGATAGTGCTCCTTGCGCAAACTCACAGTAGTGCGACGCATCAAGCAAACACGACAATCAGTTTGAAGAAAGAGTGGTTATATACATCCTGGACAGGGCCAGGCAGCAGACGAAGAGGGCTTATTTGCACGTAGTTTGGATTTTATACGCCCCTTGGATGGACCAGCAGCAACTTGATGGGGCATTCGTTCGACTTCTTTGGCTCTGCCCAACAGAGCCCTCCGCGGAGATACATGTCAAGTCCTCAGCTGGAAAGGAAGCCGGAAGAATCGCACGGACAATGTACGTGATTTGCTTGCTTGAGTAGCATTGGCATGTTCCCGGACTTGCTCCGTCTCGCACATTCTACCGACTCTAGTACTCTTACTCTTTCTGCTGCTTCTTCTGCCAGCTACCAAAGCAGTCCTTATGCCAGTGGCGCTTTCGGGTTTCTCGGCATGATTGAACGGGGACAGCCACAAGGCCCGGCAGCGGGCGAACTGCACACAGGACTCCCCTGGCAACAGCATGCAGTCGAAAGCTGACATGTAAAGCGCACGTTCAGTTTAACACCTTCGCAAGCTTGGAGCCCTGCGCGTCGCAAGGTTCTCCACTTCTGGGCTGGTGCAAGTCGGAGCGGACCGTGGATTTGTTGATCCACCACCGGGCAGATGTGAATCAGCAAAAGGACCCGGTCCAAAGCGTAGAGCTCAGCAGTTCTTTTGTTCAGGCGCACTGCTTGCCCAGGAGTCGGTATTTCTGCCGCCCATCTCTTCAGCCTGCGAAAATGCCGCGCCTACATCCGTGATACGTAGCCTGCTGGAGCACAAAGCGTGCGTGAATCCGCGGAAGAACGGTTTGGGCAGCGCACATCCCTTGGCATTTCTCGCCATGCGCCCGGAAAACTCCAAAAGCCTGGAGGTGGCGAAGCTGCTTTTGGACGCCCGAGCGGTTCCCCAGATCTCCAGTAGGTTTTCAGTTTCCCTTGGACCATGCCATCGGCATGTTAGTCAAAATGGGTCTTGTCCCACCAACATGGTGGTGTTCTGTCCTGGCTTCCCTTCAAACCAAGGCTACCCTCAGAAAAGAACAGAGTAAGCAAGAAGGCAAACACCGTGAGCCTTGCTTTCCTCGGGGCAAGGATGTGGACCTGCAGTACCGCGCAGCGGGCGTTTGGCGCACCAGAGAATTGATGTGCAGGGCCGGTGTGCGGGTTTTGGGGCCTCGCACGCCCAAGATTGCCCAGTTCATCGCCGAATGGCCACTTGAGAGCAAACATGTGTGTGTGTGTGTGTGTTTTTGCAAAATGGGGGGACCGAAGCTACCAAAGATGGTGGTGTACCTTTTTTGAGCTTCCTTTAAACCAAGAAAGAGGGGTACCCTGAACAAAATAGCAGAATCCCAAGCGACTTTCACTTGTTTTAGTCATGGCCCTTTTTGTGTTGCGATTACAAGCAAGGTCCACCACGCCATTAGGCGTCGCTTGCTTTTTTGGATGCGATGAGTTGGTGGAGTTCCTTCTGGATGCCAATGCGGACCCTGAGAAACCGAATGCGCGTGGACATACGCCTTTTCAACTTGCGCAGTCCGAGTCGGTCATGAAAGTCATCCATCTCCATCGCACCACGTTCTCTATTTGAATTGGAGTATGGGAGGTGATGTACTTTTTAACAGGCAATGCGCCAAAGGCGATTGTTTTTTTTTTTTTAGCCTCTCGCGACCCAGCTTGCCTTCGAAGGATAGTTTTAGATGTGCAGCAATTCTGAATTGATAGCTTGTTCACTAGGCTTGCAATGCACTGCACTGAACTGACATTTACAAGCTGCGATGTGCATCGGAAAATGTCCACTTTGGCATTTAGACCTTGGGTTGGGGCTGTAACAGTGGCTTGGTATGATGTCAACATGTTCTTGGCATGATGTCCACATGTTCTTGGCTGTCGCGTTGATAAAACGCAACTCTGAATGCCAACTCGTGGCGTTGTGGGTTTTAAACTCCATGACTGAAGTTGCATGCGGCCAGCGGTATGGTCAGTGCTACTTGACCATGTTTGTGGTGCGCTCGTGTGTGTGTGTGTGTGTCTGTGTGTCTGTGTGTCTGTGTGTCTGTGTGTGTGTCTGTGTGTCTGTGTGTGTGTGCGTGTGCACATGGAAAGACAAGTGCATCGGAACATCACCTCAATGTATGTATAATATGTATAGTGAATTGTGCGGTTCCATGTTCGTGGAACCTTGCATGGCGAAAGCAACACAAACTGACCTGAGGCTATCTGATAGTGGTGTGAGTGGTGGTCTTCAAAGCACTTGCCTTTGAGGCGTTATGTGCGTGACTGTTTGTGTCTTCCAATCTTGTATCAAGTTCCGCTACGCTGGTGCCATTTCAGCAAATGCGCCAAACATGGACTAGGTTCCACATAGTATTCACACGGGTAAGACCAATCTCAGTAGCAAAAGACTCACAGTCCCCGAAAAAGCCGGGTTTGTGACTCATTGCATTACCTTGTACTGACCCCTCGGCTATGATATTGTAAATGTGGGCGACAGCTGGGTTGGGCAAGGCAAGCATTACACCTCGCACAAGGATTTGTCAGAATCACGTGTTGGTGCACTTGGTCAAGGCGGCCAAACGTATGGCTGGACTGTGAAGATAAGCAGTTGATGCACACAATCAAAACCCGGGTAGATGAATGTTAGAAAGGGACAATTCCAGCCATAAATAGTTTCGGCCGCCTTCTTTGTTCTTTACATGGTTCTGGGTGGACCATTTTAATACCGGGTTTTGATTGACTCAGTGATGGACACATTTTGTTTCTCGCCGCTCGTGGTTGTCACGCCTGTGACTTTCCAAAAGGGTCCGTGAGTCCATTCCGAAACCCGCGTGAGCAACCACCCTCCCTCCATGAAATTGCAGAGGTACCTGTTGAAATCCAGTTTCGACTTGCAAAGGAGCCTTTGCAATTCTATGTTAGTAGGTAGGCTATCAGATCATGTTTAGGATGTAATTCAAGGAGTCCTACGGTCCTGAGAGCTGTTCTTTCAGAAGGTCCCCGTCTTGAAGCTCTGTCCCTGGTGGATATTTTCTCTATTTTGAATGTGGTGACTCACTTTTGAACCTTTTGCAAGACGTCAACAACATGACAGTCTGCATATCTTGGTTTAGCCGATTTTTGTTGCAAGCCCTTTGAATTCCCACCCGAAAGCGGAAAACCACAACAGCGCAATAATAATTCTGCACCCGGTTGGGGTTTCTCAATACTCAAAATAGTGACCCTCCACAACTCGCAGCAGATTTCCTTTGGCTTTCCTTTGACACACCAACAGGGGAATCATTTCGAGAAACAAGTTAATCCGGGGTTTGAACCAGCTTGAACCCATACAATTTGGACCCATCCGGGGCTTGCGATTTGTTTGAGGGTTCCCGTTTTGGGGTTGTCCTGTTTTTTGTGTGGAGTCGAAGAGAAGCCACCCATCTTTGAGGCTCACCCATTTTGGGGTTGCAAAGTTGGGACACCCGGAAAAGTTAGCAATGTTTGGGGGGTCCCATCATCGGTTTTTGGTTCCCTATCTGGAGACCTCACCCCACCCAACTGTGGATGGACGAAGTCCTGCACCACCTCAGATACCCTGGATTCCAACAAAGAATGGTTTTTGATTGTGTCAAAACGGATTTCAGTATGAGCCACCCCCCACCCCCTCCCCCTACCCCACCCCCAAGAACCTCCCCCCCACCCAAACCCCCACACACCCACACACCCACACACCCACACACCCACACACCCACACCCACACACACACACACCCACCCACCCACCCACCTACCCACCCGCCCGCCCGCCCGCCCGCCCGCCCGCCCGCCCGCCCACCCACCCACCCACCCACCCAACACCCGCCCCTCCCCATTGAACCTGACCGCTTCAGGAGACTCCTCGAGCCGCGCCCGGCAGTTCGCTCTCGCTGAGCTCAAGGCGCTGGCGAAGAGGGCGCCTGAGGCGGTGGTGGCCACTGAAGGCGCCTTGTGGGGGGGGGGGGGGAGGCGCGCTGTAAGGCGGGATCTCCAGCCATCCGGCTCCTTAGATCTTTTTACAGACTAGGTCCCAGCCAGGTGCCCTGTCTCTCGGTTGGGAGGGTTTTTGTACTAGACAGAAAAAAGGACACACAAGGACACCCTTATTCTAACCTCTCTACTGGAGGACCTAGTAGATCTTTTTCAGATCTCTTTAGGTGGCAGTTTAGGCATTGACCCCACTAAATTACTAAAGGTTGAACTTCTTAGCGGGGGATCTGAGGACAGCCCAGTTGTGGGTGGCTTGTGTTATTGTTTGGGGTACGAAGATTCCTTGGGCGGACATTTGGTTTATCTACAGGATTGCAAATTGAAAGCCATCTATTGTGTGCGTCTTCTTCAGGGGACCCACAAAATGGGTGGTGTTCCTTGTTGGTTTCCCTTTGAAACGGTGCAAATTGTGTGAGGATTCCCGAATTTTGGAGCTATTTTGCACCCCTGCCAAGCACGTGGTTGTTTGGGGGGCTATGGGTGTTTATGTTGTTCTTTTCTTTGGGCGGGGGCGGGAGGGGGGGAAGCTGTTTTTCCTTGGTTTTGTTTGGGGTTCTTGCTCGTTTTACTAATTGTTCCTCTTTTAATACTTGTTTAGTATTATTTGTGCTATCTTACAGGGGTTGATCCACAAAAACCAACCATCGGTTCAGTGGAAGCGTTCTGGTGAGTCGGAAGGAACCCATGAAGTTGGTACCCTTGAAGTTCCTTTTTGTTTGAGGGTTCCCCCGCTTGTAAAAGGTATTTGCCTCGGAAAGGGTTCCATTTGGATGGTTCTCTGGGGTGGGTGGTGGTGGTGGAGGGGGGTGGCTTTGTGTGCCGGGAGGGGCTTTGTTCAATCATTGTTGGAAAACACAAGTAAAGTCTCAAACAACGAGGCGAGAGCTAGGCTGAACAGATGGCAGCGCTGGAGGGCTGGTTTGTGGGAATGTGGGACATGCAGCTAGTGCCTCAGGTTCATGCCGTCCCCTTTACCAGGAGCCGATATGGTTTGACACGCAGCTCAGAGTCTTGTGCGAATCCAGGCCCACGAGAACGTCAAGGTGCACTTTGCTTTGTGCCAAAGTGCAACTGGAACCTGTTGACAATCCAGCGATTTCAGTGGAATCCACAGGCGACGACGGCGTTTGATTAAACCACCAGGTTTCACATGTTTGCCCTCCCGGTTACTGGCAATGGATTTAGTAAATTCTGTGGTAGTCTCATCGTCAATAGAACTAGTCACCGGCGCGTGAAGCATCATGCTGCAGGTGCAGTAGTTGCCATTCTCCGGGTGGTGGAGAAGCTTTCGCCGGGTGACCAGGAAATGGAGGATGCCAATGTGGAGGCCTTGCAGGACAGTGTCGGCTGAAACTGTGTGGATGACAAGTTGGTTACGCACACAGCCCGTCAAGTGCCCGTCACGTGCCTGGCTTCTTCCAAAACAGACTCCTTTTTGCTCCCACTGAGTATTTTCCCAAGCCTTGAACAAAAAAAGTGAAAGGAGCAAGTTGTGTTCCACTCTTTTTACAATGCTCCTTGCAAAGGCTTGCTATCAGTGGCTAGCAACGCATGCCTGCAACTAATACCGAGTTCATCAATACTCAGCAGTCTACAGTCTACGTTACCGGTGTGCCACAATGACATTGGAGATGGGCCTGCTCGGGGCTTGGCAAGTGCTGCATGTGTAGGGGACCCACCCACCCACCCACACCCACCCCCACACCCACACCCACACTCACCCACACCCACACCCACACCCACACCCACACCCACACCCACACCCACACCCACACCCACACCCACACACCCACCCACACCCACCCACACCCACCCACCCACCCACCCACACCTACCCACACCCACCCACCCACACCCACACCCACCCACCCACACCCACCCACACCCACCCACCCACACCCACCCACACCCACCCACCCACACCCACCCACACCCACCCACCCACCCACCCACCCACCCACCCACACCCACCCACCCACACCCGTCACCCACCCACACCCATCCACATTCTGCAGGCAGGCAGGCAGGCAGGCAGGCAGGCAGGCAGGCAGGCAGGCAGGCAGGCAGGCAGGCAGGCAGGCAGGCAGGCAGGCAGGCAGGCAGGCAGGCAGGCAGGCAGGCAGGCAGGCAGGCAGGCAGGCAGGCAGGCAGGCAGAGACAGACACAGACAGACAGAGACAGAGACACAGACACAGACACAGACACAGACACAGACGACAGACACAGAGACACAGAGACACACAGACACAGACACACGCACGCACGGACACACACGCACACACAATCGAACAAACAACTTCAAACTTGAAGCTTCCGATGAACGTTGTTTCCACCCGTGCAGATTACCGCGCGTTTATCGCAAAGGCGCTCGGTTTAAGAAACAAGCTCGGATGCGAATTTTTTGAAACCTGACAGACAGACAGACACACGGACACACGGACAGACACAGACAGACAGGCGGGCAGGCGGGCAGGCAGGCAGGCAGGCAGACAGACACACAGACACACAGACACATAGACACACAGACACACACACACACAAACACACACTTACACACGCCAACGCGCACACACACACACGCACCCACCTACCCGCATGCACGCTGCTTGCGCGCGGCACCCACACATACCCGCACCCACACACAAGCAAACAAACAATCGCACGAACGAACGAACAAACCAG